GAATGAAGACAACAGAGAACAGGACTTCTAGCTGGATTGTGAGAGAAATGTAGTATGACTGAGAAATAAACCTTTGTGTGTTTTCAAATCACCAGACTTTGCAGTATGGTACTGCAGCATAGCCTAGACTGTTCTGATTCTAACCATCAGAATCACTATTTTCTCCAAGCATGACATTGACTCCCTGCAAAAGGACTATACAGAGATGATTTATTAAAAAATTATTGGCATAATTGTGTGCTCCTTAGTTTGAAAATCAAGTATATTACAATTATCTAACCTTCATTTATTTTAGATATGTCCATAGCTATTAAAATCTAAAATATTTGAACCAGTGATTCCAGTTCTAGGAATAGTCTCCAGTAATATTCACAGAGGTGTACCAAATATATGATCTTCACTGCATACTTCTGATAGTAAATACTAAAAGTCTACCAACAAGAGAGTAGTTAAAGGGCTTGTGATGTTTCCATACAAGGGAAACTTCTCACTCAGCCATTACTAAGTATGAAATCTCTCATTCCAACCAAGATAGGGAAACAGGGACTGAATACACCCTCTGCAGAAACAACCCCCCCACCCATAAAGGATAAAGCATATGAAGCAACAGCTTTTGAGACAACATAGAAGTCTTATGAATGCCCACATTTCACTGCCTTGAAAGAGTTTTCTGACTGCTATAGAAGAGGGGGGGAATCCATTCTGAATTTAATAGATGCCCTTAATTCAGATATTGGTGCTGTGCCACTAAAGCAGTCCTTAGGGGGATACTTATAGCAATAGAAGAAGGTCTCAGATCAATGAATTCCATTCCAACCATGAGAAACTAGAGAAAAATATCAAATTAAACCAAAAGGAAAGAAAATAAAGGAAATAAAAATCAGAGTAGAAATCAATGGGATATAAAACAAACAAACAAAAAAACAATTCAGAAAATCAATAAAACCAAAATCTGGTTCCTGGAAAAAGACCAGGAAAATTGGTAACTTTTAGTCAGACTGGTTAGGTAAAACAGACTGTAGACACAAATTTACCAATATTAGAAATTAGAAAGGTGACATCATTACAGATATTACAGACATTAAAAAATATTACCCTGGCTGGTGTAGCTCAGTGGTTTGAGCGTGGGCTGCAAACGAAAGCATCGCAGGTTCGATTCCCAGTCAGGGCACATGCCTGGGTTGCAGGCCATGACCCCCAGCAACCGCACATTGATGTTTCTCTCTCTCCCTTTCTCCCTCCCTTCCCTCTCTAAAAATAAATAAATAAAATCTTAAAAAAATACTAAGAGACTATTATGAACAATACTACACCAATCTATTAAAAAACTTAGATGAAAAAGATAAATTTCTTGAAAGACAAATTTCCAAAGCTCATTCAAGAAGAAATAAAAAAACTGAGTAGCCCAAATCCACTAAAGCAATTAAATTTGTGATTAAAAACCGTCTCACAAAATAAAATCCAGGTTCAGATGACTTCACTGGTGAATTCTACCAAACATTTAACTAATAGATAATACCATTTTTACATAAGCTTTTCTAGAATATTAAAGAGAAGGAAGCACTTCCCAGCATGTTGTAAGGCCAGTGTTAGTTGATATCAAAATCTCACAAGGCTATTGTAATAAAATTAAAAACCAATATCACCCATGAACATAGAATCAAAAATTCTAAACAAAGTTTTAGCAAATTGATTTTAACAACAGGTAAAAGATAAAAAGTTGTGACCAAGTGAGGTTTATCCCAGGAATGCAAAATTATGCTAGCATTTGAAAAGCAATCAATATAAGTCACCATTTTAACAAACTGAGGAATAAAACTCTAAGACCATCTCATAGATACAGAAAAGCATTTGACAAAATCTAACAGCCACTATTCTAAAAAACAAAACAAAGAAAAAAAACCTCTCAGCAAAGTAGGAAATAGAGGGGAACTTCTTAAACATGTTTAAAGGCATCTGTGAAAAGCCTACAGGTAATAAGATACTGGTTAAACATTAAATGCTTTTGCCCTAAGATCAAGAGGAAGCCCAGGGTATCTGCTCTCACCACTATTATTCAAAATTACACTATTCAATGTAAGTACAGTGCAATTAGGCAAGGAAAACAAATAAAAAAGCATTTATGTTGGAAAGGAAGAACAACAACTGCCTTTATTCACAGATAAAATGATTGTCCACATAGTAAATCCAATGGAATGTACTAGACTCCAAAGGCAGTCCCTAGAACTAATAAATGATTCTATCAAGGTTGAAAGATATAATTTCAGTATACAAAAATCAATTGTATTTCTATATACTGGCAACAACTAATTAGAAATTAAAATTTGACAACCAACACTATTTACAATGGTATTTTTAAAATGGTGAAGTGCCTAGGTATGTCTCTGAAAAAAAAATGTTACAACATCTATATGAAAACTCAAAAATTGCTGAGAGAAATTAAAGAAGACCTAATATAAATGGAGAGATACATTGCATTGTTGGGTTTGAAAAGGCAATATTTTTGAGATAGGAATTCTCTCAAAATTATTTTCTAGATTCAAGGCAATTTATAGCAAAATCCCAGTACAATTTTTTGTAAGTATTGAAAAATTGAATCTAGCCCTGGCTGGCATAGCTCAGTGGATTGAGCACGGGCTGCGAACCAAAGCATCGCAGGTTCGATTCCCAGTCAGGGTACATGCCTGGGTTGCAGGCCACGGCCCCCAGCAACCGCACATTGATGTTTCTCTCTCTCTCTCTCTCTCTCTCTCTCTCTATCTATCTATCTATCTATCTATCTCCCTCCCCTCCCTCTCTAAAAATAAATAAATAAAAATCTTTAAAAAAAAGAAAAATTGAATCTAAAATTTATATGAAAATGCAAAGAACATAGAACAACCAAAACATATTTGAAAAAGAGCAAGTTGAAGGACTAAAATTACTTGATTTTAATAAATATTATAAAGTTGCAGAAATCAAAACTGTAATGTTGGCATAACAATGGGCAAATACATCAAACAGACAGAATAAAGAGTTTAAAAATAGACCCACACATACACAGACAACTGATTTTCTGCAAAGAAGCAAAGGCAGTTCAGAGGAGAAAAATAATAGTCTCTTCAAAAGCCATTGATAGAATAATTGGATATATACATTTACAAAACAAGAACTTTGATTCATACGTTGAGCTATACGCAAAAGTTAAATGAATACAAACCTACATATAACATTGAAAATTATAAGCTATATAGGAGAAAATCTTTGTGAATGTGGCTTAGGCAATGATTTCTTCAATTTGACATCAGAATCCATGAAAGAACGCACTGATAAACTGAATCTTGTCAAAAATGAAAACATCTGCTCTTCAAAAGGAGAGTGGAAAAACAAGAAACAGACTGGGGAAAAAAGTAGTTTTAAGTCCTGATAAAAGACTTGTGTCCAGAATATATAAAATAATCCCCAAATTCAATAATGAGAAAACAAATAACCCAACCAAATTTAGGAAAAGATGTGAATAAAGGCTATACCAAAGAAGATGCACAGATGGTAAAGAAGCACATGAAAAAAATGCATTAGGCAAGTGTGAATTAAAACTGCATGTAATACCTCTAGTCACCTATTAGATTAAAACAAGCGAGTGAGGATGTGGAGGAATAGAGCTCTAATACTGTGCTGGTGGAAATGTAAAATAGGCTCTTTGGAAAAGACACTGGCAGTCTTTTTTAGAAGTTAAACACACATCTGTCATATAATGTAGCTATTCCATGCCTAGGTATTTATCCAAGAGAAATGAAAGCATATGTCCACACAAAGATGTGTACAGATGTTCATAACAGCTTTATTTGTAATGTCCATCATTGGGGAATGTATGAACAAACTGTGGTTTCTCCATACGACTGAATATTACTCAGCAATAAAGAACTATGATACATGCAATGACATGGATGAATATCAAAACAGTTATGCTCAGTGCAAATAGCCAGACAACAAAGAGTACATACTCTGTGATTCAATTTATATAAAATTCTAGGAAATGAGAACTCAGTTGTAGTGTCAGAGGGTGTTGAAGGGGGGATTGCAAAAGAGGATAAGGAATTTTTTGGAGATAAGCGTATGTTCATTATTTTGAATCCAGTGATGGTTTCAAGGGTGTCAGAACTTATCAAAATTGTATGCTTTAAGTATGTGCAGTTTATTTTGTCAGTCATACCTCAATAAAGCTGTTTGTGTATATACATATGTGTGTATATATGATTTTTGTGTGTCAATATGGAATTAAGTCCATGATGTAGTAAGCGAAAGAGTAAGCTCCAGAACATTATGTATAATTTGACGTCAGATTTTTTTAAACTAATCACTAAGAGTTGTGACCTTCTTACCTCTGACTGTATATTGTGTGTGTGTAGATCTGATAGTTTACACCACGAATAGTGGTTATCCCAGGGAATGAGATGTGGCACAGGACAGGGAGGTGATATGTACATATTCAACACTGAGCTGTTATCACTTTTGATATTTAAAAGTGTCCTTTCACATACTGACAGTGACCAGAGGGGATAGAAGAGGGCATTTCAGGGGAGAATGGGTAGGGTTTACAGGAACAAATTTAAAGGACACATGGACAAAAACTAGGGGGAGGGTGGTAAAGGGAGGGAAGTGGGGAGGGTTGGGTGGGTGGGCTGGAATGGGAGTAAAAGGGAGAAAACTGTACTTGAACGATTAAAAAAAATTTTTTAAATGTCCTTTCAAGTATATATGTATTAATAAAGTGGTGCGCTTTCTAGGGGGCAATGAACCATTCGTGCGTGGCCATTTAGAGAAGCTGATGGACTGTTCTACCTCGCGAGGGGTAAGAGCGAATTACTTGGAGACCAACAGGCAGACACCCTCGTACTCACTCTCCAAGGGGCCGCCCCGGGACTTCTGAGCACGTGAGAGCCGGCACGCACCGGTCTCCCGCGAAAAGTGGAGCAGTGCGCATGCGCAGCGGCCTGGGGGCGGGGCGGGCCCCTGAGAGGCCCGCAGCCTCTGGGGGCTTCGCCGCCGGCGGAGTGCCGCCAGCTGCGGGGCAGTCGTCTGGCGAACGGCGGTGTGCGCGTTGAAACACGCGCGGTTGTGTGTTTAGAGGTAGCATTTCCATCTGGGGATCTCAGTGGTCTTAGAGGAGTTCGCCTCAGCGGACTGCGAGGAAGCTGCGGTCCAGAACCAGGGTCCAGCCTCTGTCAGGCGGGTGGTGATTTGGAGCCTCGGAGGCACCCTCGGTCAGCGCGCTCTTGGGGAACAAGGAGGCGTGACCTGGCATTCTCAGCCGCCGGAAACGTGAGGTGCGGGGTCCCCCAAGGCGCCTCGCAAACTCCCCACCTCCCCACCCCCGCGTTCGCGCTGCTCCGAGGTGGGAGGGTGTTTGGGGCTCTACAGCCCAACTTGTTTCCTCCGCGGTGTTTTTCTGCAGGGCGAGCACGGACCCGGGGTCCCCGGGTTCGGGCTTTCGCTCGCGGGTCTGCGGAGGGTGAGCCCGGCAGGACCGGCCGCATCCCGCGGCTCTCAGACGCGCGTTCGCTGGCGGCCGGAGGCTGTGCGGAGCCGGCCGTGGGGAGAGACCACTGGGACGTGCGTTGGCTTTAGCTGAACCCTTCAGGCCGTTTGCAGGACGACAGTGAGAGAGTTGATACGTGGGCCCGGAGAAGTAAACGCCCCAGAGGAAAGTAGACGCAAAGCCGTCCCTGGGAGTTGGAAGAATCTGGACTCTTTAAGAAGGATTGGTTTTAACTTTGGCTGGTGTGCCCAGAAATGGTCCCCAAACTATGAAGCGGAATAAGTTAGGATTATTTTCTCTTAGCAGAATGTCGCAAAATGCTGTCCTCAATCATCTGTACTGGTTGTTAGACCTCTGAGTCTGTCTTCGCTGCCCGCTTTCTACCAGAGTCCGGGAGGAGAGAGTTAGCCGCCAGCAGGGACATTGTAACAGATCGCCCAAATCAAGTTCTGTGCAACTCCCCCTTGTATCTGAAAAGGTGTTTTGAGTCCACATATATTTTGAAAACTTCAGTTTCTCATATGAGTAATTTAATTTTAAAAAAAGATTTTATTTGACTTGAGAAAGAGGGGAAGGGAAGGAGAAAGAGGGAGAGAAATATCAATGTGTAGTTGTGTATTGCACACCCCCTACTAGGGACCTGGCTGGCAACCCAGGCATGTGTCCTGGCTGGGAATCGAACCAGCGACCCTTTGGTTCTCAGGCTGGCACTCAGTGCACTGAGCCACACCAGCCAGGGCCTCATATGTGTCATTTAAAAGCAAACCTACCTATTCTAAACTTGAAGGATTTAAAAAAAATAAATACATCTTAATATCACATGGAGGCTTTTGAGGGAGTAGAGAAAATGGCTAAATCACTGATAAAACGTAAGAACACCAAAAAGTTGGCAATCACTGCTTTCAGAAAAATTTGTTTGACATAAATACTTATCTTTTGTCTTTGTTGAAACCTTGATGATATCATCATTTGACTTTCACATTTAAAAAATGGTAGATTTTAGGTTTAGAAAGGAACTTACAGGTGACGTGGGATGCAGAGAACATAAATATGTTCGACACCATTCCTAAAAAATCATGTTTTGTTCTCTGTTTGGGTTATATTTAGTGGGAGGAGGTGTATTTGAAGGCTGTGTGTTTTAAAGCTGGATTTTGGGAGCCAGTCTTCAGCGTTCCTGTCCAGGCCACGCCTCTGATAACTGGGGTTTCAGACCCGGTAGCGGAGACCATCAGCCTGTGGTGGCGGCAGTCTGATTTCTCAGTGTGCCCCCTTAGAAGGTAACTTGAATAAAGGACATTTGCTGATCTCTTCCTGTGCTTGTTCATTTTGCTGCTTCCAGAAGATTTGTCCAGCCTTTTAGATACTTTTGAATCTTTATTCTGTTATCTGTGGTATTTATACATTTTTAGTGTTGTGGTGATGGAAAACTTGACATTTTTAAAAGTACTTTCTGTATTCATTTAAGCAATTTGGAAGAACCTGGTGATGGTGCAGAAAATAGTTGCTCCCATTGCTGCCACCAACTTGACTTTGGATGTGTAGTCTTTCATCTAATGTCTTTGATTATCTTTCCCTCAAGAATACTGTGGGAGATTTCTTACTTTTAAAAGATTTTATTTATTTATTTTTAGAGAGAGGGGAAGGGAGGGAGAAAGAGAGACAGAGAAACATCAGTGTATGGGTTGCCTCTCATGTGGCCTCCACTGGAAACCTGGCCCAAAACCCAGGCATGTGCCCTGACTGGGAATTGAACTGGTGACCCTTCGGTTTGCAACCCACGCTCAATCCACTGAGCTACACCAAGGAGGGTGGATTTCTTACTTTTAGAGGATCTAATTCACATGGTCACCTGATCCACCAAATTAGTATACATATCATAAAAAGGAAATTGGGTTAGGGTAGTTAGTGAAGCCATTAAGTGGACTTTGAGTCCACTCTCAGAGACTAGCATCTCTCAAATGATAGTAAACCTGTTCCGTACTCGAGAATTGTGCTAAACATCACAGTGAGCTTGCTCACCTCTCCCTTTTTGGAAGTATGGCTTATCACTTGATGGGACCCTGCATTCTGGTTTTGTCTTCTGCCAGCCCTTACAATTCCTGATAGTGACTCTGAAACAGCAATCAGTTCCCTGCAGCAATCAGGTAAGTAATTCATCTGACCCTGAAGACTCCAGTGAATTAGTTTGAGAAAGATACTTGCTTTGCTGTCTTCTTGGGGATCTTAGGTAGTGATTCCTTATTTATATATCCTTACTAGGTTACTTCTTTATTTTCTAGCGTAAAGCATGGCCTGCAAACACAAAAGTAGCCAGATTGATAACATAGTATAAAAAAGATTCTGCAGTAAATAAAATTGTGTGTCATCTGATTCGGGGAATACAAGTCACTTGACGTCTTTCTCTTATTTGTGGTGTTCCTCTAAATGTGTGCCTGATAGCTCCTTTCTCCTACTTCTGCAGTGGAATGTAAAGGAGAGAGAGACAACCTTGTTGTTGTCTGGAAAATAGTGGTTTGGGTAATAGCAGAACAGATGGCATTAGAGGATATTAAATTGTAGATACTGGTCTCCAGTACGTTGTCCCTGTCTGTCCTTCAAAGCTCTGTTTTAGGAATAGGGTTCAGAAAGAAGTTGAGAGCTGGCAGGTGGTGGTAGAAATTTAAAAGAAGTTATTAGTTGCTTAATAGGTTGCTTCTTCCACCTCCTCTATGTAATTTAATTTGACTTACAGAAGTCATAGAATGCATTTATTTTTTTACTTTATGACATTTATTCATGATGCCACAGCAGTGAGTTTTATCATAATGTAGACGAGTTATTATTTTCGTCAATGTCCATAAACTGCTCCTAACTCTAACAAGTAGCTGTGCCTAAAAGCAGCCAAACTTCAAAGAGAATAGGAATGAATCAAGTAAGAATGAATCAATTCTATGTATCAATATAAGTAAAAAATTTAAAACCCACAGAAACATATGTTCTGTTAACAGCAGACTGGTCAAACAAACTTTATTCCTATGGGAATGTTAAGTTATAAAAGTTTTATCTGCTTATTTAATTATTAGGTTGGCCAAAAAGTCTGTATGGCTTTTTCTTTAAAATAAAAGACATGTTTTTCATTTTCACCAATAACTTATTGATTTGGATATTTTGAGTATGTCAGCTATCTCCTGTGTGGTATAATGTTGATTGTTCTCAATTTATGTCTCGATTTGATCACTGTTAATTTCAATTGGTCTATCTGACTGTGGAGCATCATCCAGAAAGAAATCTCCAGCACAAAACTTTGCAAACCACTTTTGACACGCTTGATCAGTCACAGCATCTCCATACACTGCATAAGTCTTTTTTTGTGTGTGTTTCAGTTGCATTTTTACCTTTCTCGAAATAATAAAGCATAAGATGCTGAAAGTGTTGCTTATTCCATCGTCAATATAAAAATGGCTACACAAAAATTCACCAATTTTGATAAGTTCACTGATATGAAAGCTGTCACAATACAACCTAACAAAATTATTTAACATGAAGTTAAATACAACTAAGTACTACTAGAGCCATCTTTTGGGAAAAACCAAAAAAATTTTTGGCCAACCCAGTATTACAGCTATAGTAGTATTATGCACTGCTAAAAACTGGAGCTAAATGATTTACACGGCCTGTTAACAAGTAAATGTAATCATGGACTACCTTAAATTTTTTGTAGTATCTCTCCATATGTGTTAATTAAAATGTAAATTTTCAGAGCCATTTGGCTATTTGATCTACTGCTTTCTATTTTATTTTATTTTATTTTATTGCATCTTTTATTTTAATTTTTTCAAAATTTTAATATAATTTAATGTCTTACTATATGTTTTCACATTTTGCTATTGTTGTTCAAGTACAGTTGTCTCCATTTCCTCTCCCCACAACTTCCCTTTAAAATTCTATTTTATTGATTATGTTATAGTACAAAAGGGGGCGCTAAGGGCAGCCCAGGCAATATACTATTACCCAAAAGGAATTCCCCAGGTTTGTTATGTCTGCTGCCAGAGGAAAGATGTCCCTCAATGCCAGAGATTCATGAAAAGGAAAGGAATTTATTATTCATTTGAAATAACACAAACTAAAGTTCCCCACAAATGCACACAGTCCTCCCAGCACCCTCCACGTGGCAAAAGGGAACATTCCATAGCCTCATGGTCCTAAGCAGATGCGTGGTCCCAAAAAGAGAGAGGCCCAATGGCTGCTGTGCCTCCGTTTAAATCCCAGCGCTAATCTTCCTCTGCAGCCCCATTTCCAGCTCCTCTCACAATTGGCCACAGCTGCCCGCATTCTGGGCGGGTGTGGCCCTGTGGTGTGGAGCCAATGATCTCCAAGCTCTTCTGGACCCTGTTACAAATCCCTATTTGGGACTCCCCTCTTGGCTGCACCCTGTTACAATTATGCTACTACAGTTGTCCTGATTTTTTTCCCCTTTGGCCCCACTCCACAGGCAGTCCCCCCACCCTTGTTCATGTCCACAGATCATACATATAAGTTCTTTGGCTATTCCATTTCCTATACTGTACTTACATCCCCATATCTATTCTGTAACTACCTATTTGTACTTCTTAATCCCTTTACCTCTTTACCCATTTTCCCACACCCCTCTTCCATCTGGCAGCCATCAAAACTCTCTGTGTCTATGATTCTGTCTCTGTCCTTCTTGTTTGCTTAGTTTGTTTTTTAGATTCAATTGTTGATAGACTTGTATCTTTTGCTATTTTATTCTACATAGTTTTTATCTTTTTCTTAAATAAGTCCCTTTAATATTTCATATAATAGTTTGGTGATGATGAACTCCTTTCTTTTCTGGGAAGCTCTTTATCTGCCCTTGGATTCTAAATGATATCTTTGCTGGGCAGAGCAATCTCAGCTGTAGGTCCCTGCGTTTTGTGACTTTGAATATTTCTTGCCAATCCCTTCTAGCCTGCAGATTTTCTTTTGAGAAATCAGCTGACAGTCTTACAGGAACTTCCCATAGGTAATTAACTCCTTTTCTTTTGCTTTTAAGATCCTCCCTTTATCTTTAACCTTTGGCATTTTAATTATGATGTGTCTTGGAGTGGGCCTCTTTGCATCCATCTTGTTTGGGACTCTCTGTGCTTCCTGGACTTGCATGTCTGTTTCCTTCACCAAATTAAGGAAGTTTTCTTGCACTATTTTTTCAAATAGATTTCCAATTCCTTGCTCTTTTTTTCCTCCTTTTGGCATCTCTATAATGCAAATGTTGGACCTGTTGAAGTTGTCCAGAGACTGCTTATACGATTCTAATTGGGGGGGGGGTTCTTTTTTTTCTTCTTGTTCTGATTGCTTGTTTTTGGTTCCTTATGTTCCATGTCATTGATTTGATTCTCAGGTTCATCCACTCTACTGTTGTTTCCCTGTACATTGTTCTTTATTTCAGTTAGTGTTTCTTTTATTTCTGACTGGATCTTTTTTATGCTGTTGAGGTCCTCACTAAGTTCTTTGAGTATCCTTATATTCAGTGTTTTGAACTCTGCATATGATAGATTGCTTATTTCCATTTTGTTTAGCTCTTTTTCTGGAGTCTTCATCTGTTCTTTCATTTGGGCCGTGCTTCTTTGTCTCACTTTGGCCACCTCCCTGTGTTTGTTTTTATGTATTAAGTAGAACTGCTTTGACTCCTTGTCTTAGTAGTGTGGCCTAATGTAGTAGGTGTCCTGTAGGGTCCAGTGGCACAGCCTCCCCTATCATCCAAGCTGGGTACTCGAGGTGCACCCTTGGTATGAATACACCCGCCTCCTGTAGTTGAGGCTTGGTTGCTGTTGAAAGATCAATGCAAGGGATTTACCCAGGCCAGTCAGCTGCAAGATTGGCTGTGACCACTGACCACCACCCTCCACCTCCCATGGAGTATCAGATGTGCAGGGGCAGGGTGTTGGTGTTCTGATGTGGTCTGTAGCTGTCCACTGGGTGCACTGGCCCCAGGGTGTCCTGAGTGTTGCAGGCCGGTATCAGCCCCCACCTGTGTTTTACCTGGGACACCCTGCCTGAGCCCTAAAGCAATCTGAGATGGCTGCTACTTATGCTGGGTTTGGAGATTCCCAGGTGAAGGCAAATTGTGAATCTAGGCTGGCTGCTGCTAGTGCTGGACCTGGGGCTCACTGAGGCCAGCTGTTGCTTGTTCAATAGGATTTAGGAAGTTGTGAAGCATGAGCCAAGACCAGTCATTCATATGGAAAAGCAGCTTGGGTAGGCCCATAAATTGGATGGCGTGGAGTCTCTGGGAATCTCCAAGGCAGGTTAAACAGTGTTAACCAGGTTGATGGAGTCTCAGATATGGCACCAGCTTATTGGCTCTGTTGGGGGAGGGTTAGAAAAAGGACAACGGCCTCTGCTCACCTTGATGGCAGGCACTTCAGTTTCTCCCTGTATACCACTGGTGACTTTCCAACTGCTACCCCAGTGCTGAAGCTCAGAGGGAGTGAGTCTGAGTAGGTGAGTCCATGTGTGGGCTCTTAAAGAGGAACTGCTTGGGTCTCCAAAAGTTTCGTCTACCACCTCAATCCCCACTAGTTTTTGCAGCTGGAACTTGTGGGGACTTTTCTTCCTGGCACTGGAACCCTGCTCCAAGGGGCCTGGTTTGGATCTTAGACTCCTCGCTCCTGAGATATTCCTTCCAAGTTTTTATCCACCACACGTGGGTTAGAGGCCAGCCTGTTCCACGTCTGAGCCCTTCCTACCAGTCTGGATGGATGCGGTTCCTTCAACTCTGTAGTTGTTAGACTTCCATTCAACTTAATTTATGGTGATTCTCACTGATGGTGGTTCTACATTTTAATTGTAATTTTGATGTAGTTGTATGAAAAGACAAGTCATGTCTGCCTATACCACCATCTTGACCAAAAGTTCCTTGCCTTCTATTTTAGTAGAGTTTCAAATATAATTTCTGGCAAGTGTTGCAATATTTCCACCAACCAGGCTAGATTTTTTTTTTTTGGACAGGTTTACTTCTGAGTAAGAAAAAAAAAGTTTGGTAATCAATAATTTCCTAACAAAAACTTCCAATATACACAGCGATACATCTGAATATCCTAAGTTTCAAAATTATTGGATTTTTACTTACACATTCTGATAAATGTGTTTTTGTGGTATTTTGCCAGCCTAGGAAGTGAAATTGATGGCTATTGGTGAGTACTCCATGGCAACGGTTCCTTCATTCGTTCATTCAGTGTGAACTATAACCCGGAAGCCTTCTTTAGGTAGAAAGTTGGTAGTTTGATAAAGAAATTACCGGTTTCTAAAAATGATCATACATGTTTAAGCTGGAATTTTTGTATATTTTCAAGCTAAGAAAAATCAATTTGTCTTGCATTCTAAAACGTAGTTTACTAATGCTTATTTGCTATAAAATTATTTTATATGAAATTTATGATTTCTTGGTGAGTTTTATGGTCTGAAAGCTACCATATTTTGCCATGTATAATGTGTACTTTTTTGCCCAAATTTTTGAGGGAAAAATAAGGATATGTATTATCCATGGGTAGTACTAATTCTGTAGCTACATAAATATTTTTAATTCTTTTATTTATGCTTATTCATTAAAAGTGTAACTCTAGAAAGCAATTGCAATACTCATATGTAAAGTAATACCCTGGAATACAATAATCAAGTTTTGTTTCTGAATATAAATAAATAATAACTGAATTAAAAAATTAAAGTGAAAGACTTTTTTCCTGAAAGTCTGGGCTAAAAACATGGGTGCACATTATACACAGCAAAATATGGTAATGTATGTAAGGAGAAGGGAAATTAAAATGTGATTTTTAATAGAATTCTTGGTACATAAAGTCCTTTAGTTATGATGAGTATATCAATTAACTGGCAATTAATTACTTTACTAAATAAACAGTTTTAACAATCAATTCATATTACATATAGTCAGATTTAATATATAGCACAATTGCTGTGTTTAGAATTGCAACACAGTTTTTTTAGCCTGGTATTTGGAAGAAGTCTTTGTTTTATTTTGATTCATTGCTTTTCTAGTGATGGATTATATTCGGGATAACATTTTTTGTAATACCTTAGTGAAATTTTAACTATCTATTCTATAGGCTACCAAATAAAGCAATTAAAAGCAAAATGTCAATAAATATGCTCCACATGAGAGTTTAGAATTCAGTGTCCATTCCTTTACTTTCCCCAGGCCATCATATTTTATTTTAGGGAATGATCATTAAACAATAAATCAGCTTTTTCAAAATAGCATATGCTTTGAATTATTGATGTCAGCAGTTTCGTGTATCCTATACTGTATTGGTGGACCAGTTCTCCATCATGCATGTAATTTTAGTCAGATTAAAATGTATGTGGTAGCTCTTTTGCCTGATGCTTGAGACACAGCTTTGCAACTGTTTTTGGTTTCCATTTCAGTTTTCCAGACCCTAAAGATGACCTTTTATTTTGTTCATGACTAGGTCAGTCCTACTTCTGGGATCCAACTCTATATTGTGATTAAGAAATGTTTCACATCAGAGTGACTCACAAGGCAGAAACATTACATATTAAATAAATATTTCATTAGATTTAAAGGTATGTTTCAATTATGACACTGAATCTTCCACATACATGTTCCTAGCATTCAAGGGTGAAATTAAGACTGAACAGTCAACCAACATTAAAGTTCAGAACTATTGTTACCGTTATTTTGCTTCTCAAATAATTGTATGCTTAAAATACATTGCATTCTTATGTAAGACTATGTATAAGATAACCCAATATATTTAGGTATACCTGGACCTGAAATTTGTTGAAACTTAGTTGTATTTCAGGCTGACTAATACCTGGAGATTTGTCATTTCTTTTTGTTGGGGAAGAATGGTCTTTCCTTTGCTATGTACATTGGTGAGTAGTGGTGAGGTGTGTTGCTTACACAGACTTTGTCCCTGCTATATCCGTTTTCTCTAGAGCTCCTGTGTCTTGAGTATCATCTGAAAATTGTAACAGATCATTTGACATTTTGTTAGAATTATGCTTCAACTCAATGAAATTTGTTCAGAAAAATGCATTGGAAAATTTAAAATAACAGCAACTGCAACATTTACTGAGCACTTACTATGTGCTGGCACTTAAGGTATTTTAATTCTCACAACAACCTTATGAAATGGTACTGCTGCTCTCCCTGCTTTTCACATGCAGAAACTGAGGCTTAAATTAATTTGCTCAAACAAGATCACATGGCTAGTAAATGGCAGAGCTGGGACTCATTGAAACCTATGCTTTTAGTTGTGGTTTACTGTCCCCTAGACCACACCCCCAAGAGTTCTTAGCACAGTTGCAGTGTAATGCTTCCTTCTGTGTGGGAGATAATAAAAATACAATAATTGACCAGGAATAAACCTGGGACATACACAGCTTTCTTGGACATTTCCTCTTCGAAGCCTGCCCAATCACCCCTCCCCCATACAATCTCAATTATATAGCATTGCCTTATTTTTCCATTGCAACTTGTCCCAGTTTCGGTGATGGCATTTACCACTGCATTTCACCATTTGTCCACAGCTCTTTGAGAACAGGTTCCATTTTATTTATTTCTGTATCCCCAGCATGTAGAGGCAATAGTGGGAGATTACTTTTTCACTGTTTTATTGTCTAATGTTGTTATTCTATACAATTAGAGCACAAATGTATGATGAAATATGGAAAGTGACCATTTAACCTTTTTTAATGTTTACAGAATGAAGAGGAACAATTTATCTGCTGTGAACAAAATTGTCCATTCTTCACCAGCAGTGAAACAGCCAAAACTTGGATTCTGCTCTTCTCTCGACCAGACTCATATGTACACTGTTCTTCTAGACTGGGGGAGTTTGCCTCACCATGTAGTGTTACACATTTTTCAGTACCTTCCTTTAATAGATCGGGCCCGGGCATCTTCTGTATGTAGGAGATGGAATGAAGTTTTTCATATTCCTGATCTTTGGAGAAAGTTTGAATTTGAACTGAACCAGTCAGCTACTTCATATTTTAAGTCCACTCATCCTGATCTCATTCAGCAGATTATTAAAAAGCATGCTGCCCACCTTCAGTATGTCAGCTTTAAGGTAAGAAAAATAAGCATTAAATAGAAACCATGACTTATATTTTAACAATAATTTTAATATCCATATCCTTGTGTTGAGGCAGTCAGTGAATTTTGCAGAATTTTATCTCAAATATTTCCTGTTTTTCTGTAGTTATTTGCATAGATTGAGATGTAGAACTTGAGTTATAATTGAGTAACTTAAAAAAACTTCATTTTCCTTCACCCGAGTGCTATTATAAAATTCAGGTAATTGTAAAAGATTTGAAAGTGCACAGTGCTTAGAAAGTTAATTTGTCATCATCATTCTCACTTTTTTATCTGAGACATTTTGTATAAAGAAAAAATACTAATTTATTTTATAGCTTGAGGGGTAAATACAACTTTGCAAATGAATTCTATTAAATAAGTATTTGCCAGTAACTTTCTACTAAGTTAACTTCATTAAATTAAGATTTAAAATTGTCTTTATAGGTTGATAGTAGTACTGAATCAGCAGAAGCTGCCTGTGATATACTTTCTCAGCTGGTAAATTGTTCTATCCAGACCTTAGGCTTGATTTCAACAGCCAAGCCAAGTTTTATGAATATGTCAAAGGTAAATATGGTATGCTTTTTTTGGTGCAATTCTTAAATATTGTAAAACTCTTTTGTAAAATTCTTAAATATTGTCCAACTAGCGGAAGAGACTCTTTTCTTAAAACAGACAATATTCTGCTTGTACTCAACAATTTAAAGCAGTTTTCTGTTGACTAGCACTTATTTTTGCTGAAATAGCGTATGCATGGTTTCATTCTTTAAATAAATTTTAGTAAATGTTTCCCCAGTAAATGTCATTCATATAAACTTTAGATGTATGATTTTCAAGTGCTAATTTACTTAATCACTTTGAATATGTGTAAGTGGATGTCTTTTCTGTAATTCTAGACTCTCTTCATTAGAGGTGGAACAGCATAATATTTAACTAAATAAACTGCATTTGTTAGGATGATGTTTCAGTCCATGTAGTAGAAATTCCAAAATAACAATGGCTTAAAACACAGGACTGAGGTTTATTTCTCTTGTGTTAAAGGAATCCCTAGGTGAGACAGTCCATAGCTGGTATAAAGGTGTTTGGAACCCAGGCTTCCTCCAGGCACTGCATTCTCTCCAAGCTGTTTTCTTCTCTTCATTGTCAAAGGTGGCTTTCTGAGCTCCAGCTATCACGTCCTTATTGTAGACAGCTGGATGGAAGCTGTGGGGGAAGAAGGATATGCCCTCTCCTTTTCAGGGAGACTAGCCATAAGTATCCCATAATGCTGCTGTTTGTCTCCTTGGCCAGAATTTAGGCCTGTGGCCCCACAGATGTCTTTTAGCTGGGTGCAATGTGCCCAGCTAAATACTGGGACTAGATTACCAAAAAAGAAAGTATGAATCATTGTTCAGAAGCACCCAGCAGTCTCTGCCACAGAAACTAATAACTGTCTTCTCTTCATTCTTGCTTCAGCTTGAATGCCATCTGCTCAGAGAGGCCGCCTTGACTGCTTTTGCTAAAACAGTGCCCACTCTTACAGTGACCCTCTCCTATATGACACTATTTTAATTTCTTTATATTTTTCATCAGGACTTCAAAATACCTCATTGATTTAACATATTTATTCTCTTTTCCCCAGACCAAATCATAAAATCCTTGAAGGGGGATATTCTAATTTGTTTACCTACCATTATAAATCCAGAATTAGAATAGTACCTGATATATAATAAGCACTAAGTTATGGTTGTCAATAAAACGGGCTAAGAAACTTTCCTGTAGAAGAGGGTAGAGGAATAGTAACATCTCTTCTCTCATAAACTGTGTCATGGCTCTCTTTTAGCAAGCATTTCTGCTAGCCTGTTTATCTTTTTAAGAGATGTCCTTAAAAAATGGGTCATTTGGGGATTAGAGTAGTATCAGTAATCAGATGGAAGTTTACTAGTTCTAAATGGTTATTGATAAACTCTGGATTCAGACTGACCTAAAATTTTTAGATTCTAAGCTGTCTCTCATGTTGCACATGAGCTCCGCGAGCCAGCTTCTGGGTTAGCTGATGCAGACACCTGAGCGAGGCAACGGCGACTAGCAGGCTTCATTTCCAGCTCTGCCTCCACAGTAAAATGAGCTCTGTGGCTTCCGGTGAAGTTGTGGATCTCTCTCAGCCTCACTTTTTTTTTCATTTGTAAACTAAGGGAAAGTAAGATGAAAGTACAGCATTTTGCTAGGCATAAAAAGTGCTAAAAAAATCTATCGTTACTATAATAAAATTTGTACAGGTTTCCCCTGCTATCCAAAAGCAGAACTGTACTATAAAACCTTTTGTAAGCCCAAACGGCATAAAGCACAGAGCCATTATCTTAGGACACATCTTACCAACGGATACGCAAAACAAATTAATATGAAGCATAGATGTTCACAGACACAGCTCAAAGCTATGGCAGCCTGATGTGGAGAAGCTGAGCGTAGCTCCTGGAGGAGGAGCTGATGGGGCCACTCTCACTGCTCAAGGTGCATGCTGCCTCTGCCACAGCTCACTGCAAAACAAAATGCTGAATGTTATTTTTGCCTTTTGCCTTTCTTCATAGAAATTAAATCCTCTTTGGATTTCTGGTTCATGAAAACGAGTACTAATATAGGTCTTTTGTAAAAGTAAAATGATGTAAAGCAAAACTCTCAAAAAGTAGGGGATACCTGTATTCTGATGCATAACTGTGTCCTTCAGGATTAAAAGAGTCCACTGAGAGTTGACTAAAGGGGAAAAAACCCTTATATTTCTTAAAGAAAAAGAGTGATGTATTTTATTTCTCTAACAATGTTTGGCATAAAATTAAGAGGATAGCCATCTGCTATACAAAAATTTGTGTAAATCAGTTAGCAATTAGTATATGCCAACAGGTTTTCTTTCTTTTTGTTTTATTATAATTGTTGTTCAAGTACAGTTTTCTGCCTTTTACTCCCATCCCAGCCCCCCGACACACAGCCTTCCCCACCTCCCTCCCATTTCCATCCCCCCTTGTTTTTGTCCATGTGTCCTTTATACTTGTTCCTGCAAACCCTTCCCCTTTTCCCCTGAAATTCCCTCCCCGCTCCCCTCTGGTCACTGTCAGCCTGTTCTCTGTTTCAGTGTGTTTGGTTATATTTTGCTTGTTTGTTTGTTGTTTTCTTATAAATTAACTTAGATTTATAACCAATTTGGTCATTCTAATAGGGACAGTAGAACCTCTGGTAGGATCCAAATAGATTTTGAAAAAGGAAAAATGATCATGCGTGGATTTGGTTTCCAGACTTTCCATCTGTATCCAAAAACACTGGATCTGAAAACTTGTGAAACCCCACCCATTCTGAAGTCAAACTATAAATAAGCTTTAGTTTGTCAATCTTCAAAAAGTTTCCAAAACATTTTTGTTCAATTGGCTAGCAAAAAGCATGTCACCAAAGAATGACATCATTTGTTCACTTATTCATCAGCAAATATTTATTGATCTTCTCCTATGTGCCAGATACCATTTTAGGTGCTGGGAGTACAGGAGTGAATAAACCAGATAAAAATTCTCTTTCCTCCAAGGCAGGGTTTGAACAGGTACAGATAGTAAATATTTTAGGCTTTGCAGCTCGTGCAGTTTTGCTGCAACTCTGCTGTTGCAATACCCTCAACTCTGTGTATCACAGTATTGAAGTCGACATAGACAATATATACTTGAAGCAAATGGCTGTGCTACAGTAACTTTAATTATGTATACTGAAAGTTTCATTTAATATTCACATATTGTGAAATAGTCTTCAAAACATTTTTTGCAATTATTTAAAAATGTAAAAGCCATTCTTAACTCATGAGCTATACAATAACAGATTGGATTGGATTTGGCTGGCAGACCATAACTTGCTAACTTCTATTCTAGGAAATAAATATAATCATACCCTTTTAATATTGAAAACAAAATCCTTAAGATTGAAAATAATTGAAAGACATACTTATGAAATTTTTCAAACTTCTCCCCTTCTCACCATTCCATTTATGAATTGTAAAAGTACTTTTAAAACTGTACTTGGTTATAAAAATATCTTCTAGTAGCTAATGGTGATATGAAAAACAGTAATATGTTGATTGCTTTTACTATGTTATTGTAAGCATATGTTGATATATTAGTTTTAATGAATTTGATTGAATCTATAGATATTTAAATAATGTTTTCATAATTTTTTTCTTATTGCCATGCAAGGCTCACTTTGTGTCAGCACTTACAGTTGTTTTTATCAACTCAAAATCATTGTCATCAATCAAAATTGAAGACACACCAGTGGATGATCCCTCACTGAAGATTCTCGTGGCAAATAATAGTGATACTCTAAGACTCCTAAAAATGAGTAGCTGTCCTCATGTTTCATCTGATGGTAGGTTATATTTTTCTAAGCTTGCATGATATTTTCTTTACTATAGTGATAGTAAGAATGCTATTTCTGCCCTGGCTGGTGTAGCTCAGTGGATTGAGCATGGGCTGTGAACCAAAGTGTCGCAGGTTCGATTCCTAGTCAGGGTACATGCCTGGGTTGCAGGCCATGACCCCCAGCAACCCCACATTGGTGTTTCTCTCTCTCTCTCTATCTCCCTCTCTTCCCTCTCTAAAAATAAATAAATAAAATCTTTAAAAAAAGAATGCAGTTTCTTATAGAAATATACATGCTTTTGGAACATAATGTATTACTCTTTTTTCAAAAGAAGTCTTAATCTATAAGCTAGAGATCATTTAAATTGCTTCTCCTAAGAGTATTTTAATTATATATACAGGGTCCAGCACAGATAACACCTCTTTTTATTACATAAAAATCTTTTATTACAAAATAATAAATATGTAATTCTGTAACATAGCAACATCACACTGAAGCACACCATATGAAATTTTAGGTGAAATGCTCAAATTGCTGTTTGTCTTGTGCGGGACATTCATATGCCCTACCAACCACACTCAGTGGCATTACTTCTGCCAGATCCTGTATATTATTATATATAATTATGTATATCTTGGCACCCATCTCCTCAAAAATCATTAGATGTCTATTTTAGTAAATAACGAATGACTAGTATCAAATGTAAATTGACAAAATGTTATTGTTAGTGTGATCTTTGTTCTGAAGAATTTTTCCTCATTTCCCACAGGAATCCTTTGTATAGCTGATCATTGTCAAGGCCTTAGAGAACTGGCATTGAATTATTACATGCTAAGTGATGAACTTCTCCTGGCACTTTCAAGTGAGACTCACGTTAACCTTGAACATCTTCGAATTGATGTTGTGAGTGAAAATCCTGGACAAATTGAATTTCATTCTATTAAAAAACAAAGTTGGGATGCGCTAATTAAACACTCCCCTGGAGTTAATGTTGTTATGTACTTCTTTTTATATGAAGAGGAATTTGAGACATTCTTCCAAGAAAACTCCCCTGTTACTCACCTTTATTTTGGCCGTTCAGTAAGCAAAGCAGTTCTTGGACGGATAGGTCTTAACTGTCCAAGACTAATCGAGTTAGTAGTGTGTGCCAATGGTCTCCAAACTCTTGATGATGAACTTGTTTGTATTGCTAAACACTGTAAAAACTTCACAGCCTTGGGCCTGAGTGAATGCGAAGTTAGCTGCAGTGCCTTCATTGAGTTTGTGAGACTGTGTGGGACAAGGCTAGCCCAGCTCTCCATAATGGAGGAGGTTTTGATCCCTGATGACAATTATAGCCTGGATGAAATTCACACTGAAGTTTCCAAATACCTGGGAAGACTGTGGTTCCCTGATGTCATGCCTATTTGGTAATTGACTACCAAAGATCCTAACGTTTTTTAATTTAAAAAATTAGCTTCTTTCAGTCTATGCAAATGAAAGTTTAAGTTGCATTGCTGAAATATTTTAGGTAAAGTATTTCATCATTTGCAAACTGTCTTAATAGGTTGCAGCAGAAACATTTGAAAAAATATAAGAAATTTGAAAAGCCAAAAATTTTCCTAAATGCAGCACAGAGACTGTGTTTTGGTTAGATAGTTGATATGCTAAAAACTACAAATAGTTTCTAGGTAAGCTGCTTGGCCTTCCTTGAAGGCATATTTTACTTTGCTAAATAAGTTTGTAATATTAAGCTTTGGATCCCTTAAATTATGCCATTTACAACTTTATATTGTTTTAATTGTTCCTGTGTCATCCTAATATATTTTACAAAGTACTTAGTATTAAAAACTAAAAGTAAAATCAAAATATAGATACAGATGCTGACTTAATTACACTTCATTTTAGCACTATATAACATGTTATGATTTAATAAACAACTTTAATTTCCAGTACACTTGGAATTCTACTTTATTACATTAACTTGAGAGTAAATTGACATTAGACTAAAATTAAATAATGCTAATTCATTTTATGAAGATACTGTGATTGTTAATTGATTAAATACACTACTGAGACAAATAAGTAAATTTTGCAGAGTATGTTTGGGAGGGAATCAGTGCTTACTGACCTATTGCTGTGCATCTGAAATGATGCCAAATACTTTGCAGAGCAATCTTGTAATTTAATCAGTAGTAAGCAAAATTCCTTAATGGCTATGTATTGGTTTTAGGATGAAGATATATCTTTGACATGATTCACAAGATCCTACGAGGTCTGGCTTCACCCTGCTTTGCACTCACTTTCTTCCCCCCAAGCTGCCCCGTGCCCTTTTGCTTCCATTCTCTTTCAGGTCCTGACAGCTGCTGTGCAGAGGCTCTAGTCAGAAGGCATTCGTACATATTAATCATCCTACTTTGATTACTCTCTCCATTCCCTCAGATCTTTCCTTTAGAGTCTTTTCCTCAGGGAAGCCTCCATGACTCTCAGCACCCTGCGACTGCTCTTTGTGGCCCTCGCCATTATTGTAACTTGCCCTTTACTTGTATGATCATCTGCTGCTTCTACTGTGCAGTGTAAGGTCACTGGTGGGTTTCACTCACCGTTGTGTTCCCAGCATCTGCCATGATATTTAGCACGATAGTAGGCACTCAATACGTTTTACTTAAATGCTTTCTGATTTTATCCTATAACCTTTCTGTAGCATTTTTTAAAATTTATTGTATTTTATTGTTGTTCAGGTACACTTGTCTGCATTTTTCTCCCACCCAAGCCATCCCCACCTCCCTCCCCCGATCCCACCAAATTTGTTCCCTTCAATATCTTAAATTTCCTTCTAAGATAATCAATTTAAAAAGAAAAAGAAAGTTAAAAATATATCTATCATTTTCCAGTATTTGAGTATTTTTGAAGAACAGGCATCTCATTTCATTCACCTTTGAGTCTAAACCTCTCAAAACAGTGTGTAGTACATTAGTACACACTAAATAAATGCCAGTGGAGCTGATATTACTGGTTGAAAAAAAAACAATTTCTTAAAGACAGTTAATACTATTGCAGATTATATCAGCTGTACCTTAAGATTTCTCTATTCTCCTAGAGTGCAGAAGCAGCAAATGACAGGGAACTTAGGGTCTGACTGGAATAACAGGACTACCAGACAGAAAGGAAGTGGTATAACTGAGATGGAGGGGTCGGACTGCTTGGAGATCAGAGTAATTAATGGTGGAAAAACTGAAGACAGAAACCTCCAGTCGCACCTGGTATTAAAGTGCATATACCTGAGTGGTAAGGTGATAGAATGCCAGTGGTGCTTGCACTGGAGGACAACAAAGCAAAACAGAAAGGGACTAGAAGAGGGGGTAGGTCAAGGGGGAGTTAATTCCTGCAGCCCACCAGCATAGAGAAATAATGACAGTGAGTGGCCTCTTTTACATCGAAGGAGAAATTGCTGCTCTAAATAGTGGTCTTTAGTAGTCAAACCTAGTGAACCAAGCATTATGATTAATAATTCTCAGAAAAAAAGTTAGACTAAAACTCATCAGCTCAATTAAATGAGACCGTGGTTGATCTTACTGGATTGATAAATTGAAGAACAAACAAAAACAAGATGAGGAAATATGAAGTATTCTTGATGTTTCATTTAATGAAAGTGTCTCCATTTACTGTGGAAGTCCATGGAAAGCACTGTTTCCCTAAGAGTCAAGGATTCTAGGTAAATGAAAGAATTTGCTATTAGATGGATTTTGAGCTTTAGGCTTTTAAAAGTATGTTCTGTAAGCAAACTTGTTCATGTTAAATTTGTGGTTTTGCATGTGTTGAAGAGTTCTGGAAAAGTTAGGATAATTTTGTTAGACAACATGTAAGTGGAGAGAATGGGAGAAAAGGTTCTATTGTAGGTATACTGAAGACACACAAAAATAGGATTCTCAAGTTTTTGTTTTTTCTTCCTTAAGAACCTTCCTGGGCTCATTTGTATTGTACTAAATACTAGGGAGATGGACAGATATCAACGCATTGCTGTTGATATGCCACTAATGTGATAAATGTCACAAGGATATAAGAATTCTTCCCTATGTAGACCTAGCCCTAAGTTGGCCGCTTAACTTTTATTTCATAAAGTTAACTTTATTCATAAAGTTACTTTCCTACAGAAAACTAAAAAAAAGTTTCCAAAATAAAAACTGATTTTGTTCATATTATTTACAGTCAGTGAGACTAATACCTGATACCACATTTTTAAGTATGTATTATAACCACTTTCACTAAGGAAAAATAAGTTACTCAGTACTGTTACTTCTCTGTCATTTGAACCTTAGCAATACTTTAAGCTGAACATTTTGACATTCAAACCTAAAAGGAAACTAAAAAAAACAAAAACAAAAAAAAACTCTGATATAATTCACCAGAGGGCGCTGTATTCTAGTTCTTTCTGAGAAAGAAGTCCTTTAGTCTAAAGTTTGCATTTCCATTCAACAGATGTGAGAGTTCTTGTGGAATGCTAGGCAGAAGGAAACATTCTTGCTCTACCTTGGGGAAGCTCTCCATTCCAGGTAATGAGTCTGGTTTTTAAAACAGTCACTTCAAGAGGTTGATTATTTAGAAGACGATGCACATATTTCATTGTTGAAACATTTTAGAGCTCTTTAAAAATTGCCTTTAAAGTCTGTGTTATTTCCTTTTTTGTGTTTTCAAGGGACACAGCCTGTGCCCCTTGAAAACAATGTAATTTTTGGAAATAATCTAAAGTTACTTGGCACTGAGGAGATGAAAAGATAGATTATCAAACCAGATAGTGCTGGTTGTAGTTTTTTTTTTTTTTATAACCAAAACTCCTTAATTTGCTAGCCTTGTATAAGACTTTATAATGTAGTAGAGAACAGTATCTAACTGGGTATGAGGAACTACTAATTGTGTTGTATAGACTCTAAACTATCTGAGAACCATCATTACCTCTCTTTTCTGGCCACCTACCTGCAAGTCCTATTACATCTGTAACATATACATCTGTAACATGCACAGTGGTACCTCAGTACTGGTCAGCTTCAGACCTCATCAAACCCTGTACTCATCAAAAATTGAGGAGAAAAAATGTTTCAGCACTCGGCACTTGCTCACCACTTGCACTTGCTAGAACTTGTATGAGTCATGATGCCAACCTGCAAAAGAAAATGTTTCACCAGTCCTCGCTTGCTCACCATTCATCAGAAGGAATTAATGACAAGTACCAAGGTGCCACTGTAATTCATAATGATTAATACGTAGGAAATCACCTCCTAACTGTAAAACTACAGCGTTGATAACTTAAATTTGAGCGGTCCTTTCCTATCAAGTCTTGAGGTTACTAGTGTTTATTATTTGTTTGATTTTCTTTTTATATATTTTCATCACATACTTATGTGTTCCTAAAGATTATGTTTTGGCTTTAATTGTTTTAACTTTTTAAAAAGTATCATGCTATATTTGATCTTTTGGACTGTTTTTTACTCAATATTGCTATGATTGATTCATTGTGTTATGTTAGCTAAGAATTATTTATTATGAGTGCTATGTAATATTCCATTCTATAACCACAATTTATTTGTCCATCTCACTGCTGATGGTCATTTAAGTTGTTCCAGGTTTTGCCCTGACGAATAATGATGTCATAAATATTCTTATACTATGTCTTAGTGTACAACTGTAGCCACTTCTCACCAGTAGTAAAGTTCAATGAGTCACATTTTCCTCTAACAACTGCACTAAGAATGGAGTCATCCTGCTGCAGTTTTCTGCATTCCAGAAGGATTTAAGCAAAAGTTTATGAAGGAAGTTTCCAGAATGATGAATTCAGCTTACTCATTTCTTACTGACTGACTAAAATCTAGGGAGCCGTATTATTTCTGGTCCTTTGAACATTTGCATGGTTTTATTTCACACTGGTACCTGTTGGAAAGAATAATATAGATATAGAGGGTTGTGCAGAAATAGGTAGCTAGTATATGGCTGCATGAGACTGACTGACTTGGTTCCATGAGATTTTTCAGGTTAGGATAGACCTCTTTCCTTTCTAGTACCCCTTGTCATGCAATCATACTGAAATCTAGAATATTTCATATTTTTTAGACTACAGTTGTTCATTACCTAGAAGACCTACCACTTACATGCAATGTGGTTTGTGTAAATATAAAGACATGGAAATTCTATTTTGTCCATGCAAGCAGCTCATGATCCAACCAATTTGACAAACCTAAGGAAATTGCTGAAATTCTCCAAAAGCTTAACTCAAAAGGAGCCTCCAATTTATTCAGTCAATATTTATTAAGTGCGTATATGTGTCCAATATTGTACAACCCTCTATTCTTACACCATGAAAATAGTTTCAGGCTTTTTTTTAAGCAGAAATCTAATTTTAGAATCATTAAAAATGCAGTCTGAACCAGCTTTAATTTATATGTTTATTTATTCTATGTATTTAGGACTAAGAAATCTTAAAAAGAAAAATCACACCATCCCAGATATCATCGGTTACAGAAAGATAAGCAAGCCCTGAGAAATTAGTTGACATGCAAAAACATGAAAGTGGCAGTGGGTTGAAATCCACATACTGTTTTCTTCCATGCATTTATTCTGTTTCTATTCGAGCATGAATTTCTTGAAAAGCAGGATATGCATTCAGGTTCTAAGAAGATGGCTTTCTATGTAGAAGGTCTAGTCATTTGTCTTCCATTTATAGGTGCACGGTGGGATCACTCAAGTCACAGTTTTCAATGTGTACATGGGACTGGATGCCAGGATAAACTTTCTGCAAGGGCAATAGAGTTCCCAGTTTCTCTCCTTTCTTGATAGAACCTTTATATTTAGTTGGCTTAATGTGGAACATTTTAATACAGAAGCCTAAAAGAAAAGAAGAAGTAAAATTATTTACTATCTGAATTTTAATAGTCTTCAGTCAGAAATTTAAAAAAATAACTGAAATGAAGAAAAAAAACCAAAAAGAGTTGATTGAACTCATTGAGGGAAGAGTAAGATGACAAAATCATGCCAGGAATAAAGACAAAAATTACAAGATGCCCAAGAAAGAATAGATTTAAATGAAAATTAATAAAGATATTAAACAATAGCAGAAATACACTAGGTACCTGAGAAAATTGACCTAGAACAATGTCAACTCTAAGACACATTCTAATTAAACTATTGGACTTTAAAGACCAGGAAAAATGGAAATAACTGGCATGAGAATACAAATATTTCTAAATACCAAAAGGAAAAAAATTAAAGACCCAGCAAATAGAGTAATCAAGTTAATATAATACTATAATTATAATATGACAGTGTTGGGACCAAATACATGTTATATCTATAAATGTTAACTCATCTATTAAATAGATTTTCTTACTAACTTGAAAAGGAAAACTCAGTTCTATACTGTATAGAAGAAAAAACCACAATCATTAAAAAAGGCTAAAAATTAAGATCTGGACAAATATTTGCCAAGGAAATGGAAGCCAAAAAGAAAGCAAGAGTTAGGGTCCTGTTACCAGAGATTGGAATTCAGGCCAGAAAGCACTGAAACAAGACAAAGGAGGACAATTAACGTGCTGAATCCAGTGAAGATGCAACAGTGTCAATTACCCATGTGCTAAATAACACGGAAACCATCTGTACAAAACAGAGACTTCAGGAGGTACAAGGAGAAATAGATGGAAAGCCGGTAGTCATAGAAGACTTCAACACATGTCTGCCATTGCAGACACTGCAAGTGGACAGAAAACATAAGTAAGGCTGTACACATGTGGCTCGTCAGCACTTAAAATGCAGCTAATCTGAGGTAGATGTGCTCTAAGTACAAGGTACACGCTGGATTTTGAAGACAGTACCCAAACTTGGTAAAATAATAATCTTTATAGTAATTGCATTTTGAAATGAAAATATTCTGGAGATAGTGGGTTAAGTAAAATATATTATTAAAATTAATTTCACATGTTTCTTTTTACTTTATGTGACTCCTAGAAAATTTAAAATAACTTCTGTGGCTTTTATTATATTCCTATTGTATAGTACTGCCATAGAAGATCTAAGCAAAATTAATTAGTAAGTTGTGTCTTTTGTACCTACAGGGTCTGGCACAAATAACATCTCTTTTTTATTACAAAATCATAAGCATGTAATTCTGTAACATAACAATATCACACTCAAGCACAACATATAAAATGTTAGGTGAAATGTTCAAATTAACACTGTAAATTATTACACCCATATTATTAGCCCACCAACCATACTAAAGCAAGCATTACTTCTGCCAGACTCTATACATAAACAGAATATATGCAAGACATCTACATTGAAAACAATGCAAGACCTAAATACATGGAGGATATTATATATTCATTGACTAGAGTATTCAGTACTTTTAAGATAGCAGTTCTTTTCAATATGATGCATATAATCAATGAAAATCCAGTCAAAGTCCCAGCAGGCTTTCCAGTGGAAATTGACAAACTGATTCTATAATTGGAAATGCAAATGACCAAGCATTGCCAAGGCAACCTGAAAGATCAAAGTTGGAAGATTTATACTGTCAGATATCAAGATATATTTTAAAGCTGTAGTAGTTAAGTCAGTGTGGTATTTGTGAAAGATTGACACATGATTGATGGGGAGATGAGAAATTGAGCCATGTATATTCACACCCTCATTTATGATAAAAGATACTGAAATGTAGGGGAAAAAATGGTCTTGTCAAGTTAATGGTACTGAGTCAATTAGACATCAGTATGAAGAAAAATTTGACCCCATCTCAAATTTTATAAATCTAAATCTATAAAATCAAATTATATCTAAATATGAAGGATGAAGCAATGAAGCTTGTTGATGAGAACATAGAATATCTTTATGGCTTCAGGGTAGAAATATGTGTTAACAATAAAGGAAAATATTACTAAATTGGGCTGCATTAAAAACAAGAATTTTTGTTTATTGAAAGAAACATTAAGAAAGTAAAGAACACCCTCTCCAGGTATCTCAGTTGGTTGGAATGTCGTCCCATACACCAAAAGGTTGCAGGTTCGATCCCCAGTCGGGGTACATACCTAGGTTACAAGTTCAGTCCCCAGTTGGGGTACATACAGGAGGCAACCAATCAATGTTTCTCTCACATTGATATTTCTCTCTTTCTCTGTCTCTCTCTGTCTGTCTGTCTGTCTTTAAAAATCAGTAAACATATCCTCTTGTGAGGATTTAAAAAAATGAAAACTCAAAGTGGGAGAAAATATTTACAATACATATATCTGACAAAGGACTCATATCCAGAAGACAGTGTGTTGGCCAAAAAGTCCATTTAGTTTTTTCTGTAAAGTAAAAGACATGGTTTTCATTTTCACCAATAACTCTATTGATCTGGATATTTTGGGTATGTTAGCTGTCTCCTGTTGTTGGCTTCTAGTAAGTAGAAGCCGGGGATGCTGCCAAACATCTTCCAATCCATAAGACAGCCCCACAGCAAAGAATTATCTGGCCAAATGTCAATAATACCGAGAAACTTCACACCCCTTTTGACACTGAAGGTGCTGTTCAATCAGTCACAGCACCTTCTCCATACACTGCACAGATCTTTTTGCATTTCAGTTGTATTTTTACCTTTCTTGGAATAATAAAGCATAATACACCAAAAATGTTGCTTATCTTCTTCTATCTTCAATATTAAAATGGTTGCACAAAAATTCACCAACTTTGATAAGTTTTTTTAAAATGACAACTGATATGACAGCTTTCACAACACAATCTAACAAAATTGTTTCAAATAAAGTTAAAGACAACTAAGTACTACTAGAGCCATTGTATGGAAAAAAACTAAATGTACTTTTTGGTCACCTAGTACAAAAAAACTCCTACATACCAATAAGAAAAAGGCTGGCAAGAAAGACAGGGTAAAATACTTGGATAGGCACCTCACAAAAGGCAGTATCTATGTTATCAATAAATATGAAAGGATGCTCAATTGTATTAGCCATTAGGGAAATGCAAGTTAAAGCTAAATGAGATATTACTACACACCCATCAGAATGGTTGAAATGAGAAAGGTAGATAAGTAACACCAAGTACTCTGAGGCAACTGGGATTTTTATACACCCTTATGAGGAGTATAAGTTGATACTACTACTTTGGGAAACTGTGCCAGTGTCTATAATACTAAAATTGAAGGTACGCTTACGCCAAGTGATCCAGCACTTACTCTCCTACAGCACACTGCCAGTTGCTGAGTATATTGATTCTAATTATGCAACTGGGAAAACTATAATACCACAGGGTGGATTTGTGGAGGCACTGGGCCCACTGTAAGAAGGACCCTGGTGAAAGACTGTACTGATTGCCTGAGCCTAGAAGCCCCTAGTCTGACTGGTCTTTTTAGTCTCCAGGAATTAGTATCAGTTTTGAGTAAGTGTCCACTAATCTCTGAAAAGCCTAATTCTTCTTCCCCAATGTACAGTCATTCTGCTAGATGGCTGAAGGTCCCTTTGGGGATAACTAGAAGTCAGGTTTACAGTATAAATTTTTGGCTTTGTGACTCTCTTTCTTAAAGAGAGTCAGCCTCCCTTTCATTCAAGGGGCTCTGGGACTGAACTGGCTCAAGTCTGGGAATTGGGGTGGGGTGGTTTGGAACCCGTAATTGTGATGATGTCAGAATTCTGTTCATCAAACCTATAGTGTTTCCATTATACAAATCAAACAAGGTTTTAGTAGGCCTCCCGTCTCTTTCATTCTAGGGTCACCATAATTAACTGGACAATGCCACAGATCTGTGTGCTTCACATGAAGCTTATTACTGCTTCATCTCTGCTGCCTGTTAGGTAACCATGCCAACCTTGGCTTTGGCTACTAACTGGACTCCATTCAATGGCAGCATCTTGTCATTCAGGCCTAAGCTACCTCATAGCTCCTCACGGATGTGGGCTCTCTCACAAAGTGCTTGCTTGGTGAAGGGATTGTCCTCTGGACTCACTCCCAACAGAAATGCATATTTATGTTCATTAAAAGACATGTGCAAGAAAGTTCATAGCATTTTCATAATCACGTAAAGCTGGGTGCTACCTCAATGTCCATCTAAAGAATGATTGTATAGATGAAAATATATGCATGTAATGGAACACTATAAAGCAATAAGAATTAAGGAGCTAAAATAACATGAAAAATATGGGTGAATCTCACAAACACGATGTGGAGTGAAAGAAATTGCATGCTGTTTAATTCTATTTATACTGTCTTCAAAAACAGGCAAAACTATGTTGGGAAAGTGATTGCACTTGCTGAATAATGACTAAAAGGTGGCACAAAGGGTCCCTTGGGTGCTGCTTTCTCTTGATTGGAGTACTGGTTACATGGGTGTATTTACTTTACAAAAGTTCACAGAGCTATATAATGCTTTGTGCACTTTTCTGTGTGTATATTTCAAACAAATTAAAACAACCAAACAACAAGTCCAGTACCTAAAGTACCAGAAGACCCAACTTTACCTAGAATATAGAGGCCTTTGTAAATATTTCAGTTAATTCTTGCAGAAAGGCCAACATTTTCCAATGTGGGATTCTGGTAAATCTGTTCATGATAGTTAATATTTGCTGAAAGTGGTTTTGTTTATAGATTGTTCAGCAAAACCACTTGGGCCACAGGAAGAAAGCTCCCAGGCAGCTGGAGAGTTAGGAGGAGTGTGTGCATAAAGAAGGTGATTCCACGGAAACCAGGGGAACATCTTTGGAAATGCATTAGCTGTTTTAGTTGGGGACCCTATGTCCTTTATGTTATGGGTTTTGTCATTGTGAAGGAGGTATGGAACTTCTGTTATGGAGCATGCAACAAACATCAAGCATCCGTATGTGTCCCATACATATAAAAGTACACACTAGCTCTTACCTCTTCCAGATATCCGAACACCATTGTTGATGGCATTTTTGGTTTTATAAGGTTTCTCCTGGCCCATGATCATTCCGGTGAAAGGTGCATACACAGTAGATCCATCAGCACACAAGACATCCACACCCTGGTGAGGCCTATGATTTCTAGGATGTAGATAAGAATGAACGGACTGAGGAACTTCCCTGGGAGTGCTGTTGCCCAGCAGTGTGGCGTCAGCCCTCTGTCCTCAGACTAGGGTATCAGAAAATTGAAGCTGCTAGAACATGTGGGGATGTCCCAGGTTTTCTCACTCCATTTTGTCCATCTTTAACCTCCTCTCCCGAAGGTAGTAATAACCATGTTGTAAAGATTAAAGCATTTAAGATAGTATTTGGCACTTGGGAAGCCTTGAAAAATATCAGTTATTATTTTTATATTGCATTTTGGGGGAATGAGGCAATCCATATAAGTAAATTTTGTAGACCACTTAGGAAAGTCTTTTTATGGGAGTCTATCATAAAAGAATCTTATGTTACCCTACGTCTTATTTTTCCCTCAGTGATCCAGAAGTTATTATAAACATCATTTATTGTATATGCTATTTTAATGTAGTGAGTGATACTGCGTGGGCTCATTAAAGTATATATGGCACAAACACAGCATGTTTCTAGATTGTGAGGCTTCTTGAGGTTGTCTCTAATAATCCTCGCTGTTGCCACTGTGCCCACTCTTACTTACCAGCCTGTTCTCCTTTCTAATAGGCTACCACCCGAAAAATCACATTCACCAGCTTGTTCAATTATGTAAGCAACACTGAGCAGGTTCCAAGTGAAGAGCCAGTAATTTATTGTATAAGTCAAGTGCATAAACTTTAGGGTATGAACTAATTGAGTCTTAATACTGGCAATTCAGAGGTCATTTTTCCTTATTTCCCATCTCTTAGGTATATCTCCTATATGCCTAAGTGCTCATGATCGTGTACACTTGAGGTGTTTGAGGTTACTTTGTAAGTAGTATCTGTGTAAGTGAGAGTTCCACTATAATTAGGATGGAGATCAATAATGCAATTGGACACACAGCTATTTCATCAGAGAGTGGTATTCCCAACGTGATACTGTATGTTACTGAAAATTCACAAGTGTGTCTCTCATTGTCTGGAAGAAATTGCCTGCTCAGGGCCAGCCTCTGGTGGTCAGCTCCCAGAGCCTGCGTCAGTAACAGTGGTTTGATGGAAAGAAGATCCTAAAGCCCGAATCTTAGTCCAGCTTTCACCACTTCCAGTTGTTTGGCAGGACCCTTAGCCCTTTGGTACCTCCATTCAAGTGCCTCATCTATAAAATGAGGTAGTAATGTTTGATTTTCACCTTGGAAAAACCTGGTGAACAAGTCACTGGGTGAAAACATTTGAGGGAAAACAGTGTGTTTGTTCCTCTTCCTCTTTTCCTTATTCCATGCTGCTTCCACTTCTGAGCCCCTAGTTGAAGCAGAGTTCTTGGAAGTTAAAGACAAGAACTTGCTCCAGAGACAATAATGTAACTGGTTCCATCCCCGAGTTTTCCTGCTGTCAGAGGGAGACGATCACGAGCACTTTGAGGAAACGTAGGGCAAGGGCACTAAGCGAAGAGGTTAAAAGCCCTAAGAGCTTGTGGTTATTGGTGAAACCCCATACATACCTTTGAGCAGTGTACTGGCCACAGCCATGGCTGTCACACGTCCTAATCTCATTGGAAGACTTGCCAGCACATATATTAGCCCATGGTCCAGCCAGTGCTAAAAAAGGAGAAACATGGGAAGCAGATTCCTGACCTCACATAGTTCTAGTCTCCATTTGCCTTGTAAGTCTTTCAGTGGATTCTGAAAACCTTGTTTTCACTACAGTCTTCCCCTAACTTTATGTAGTTTATGGTAAGATCTTCCTTAACTCCTGATTCAGATGTAAAGTTGGCTTTTTCCATGGCCACAGAAGTCCATTTTATGACATGTAAAGTATTTGTGTGTTTATAAGTATTAGCCTCCATCATTATACTTTCAGATTATCTACCAATAAATGGCATAAATTGTGTTTTCCAGGTTTTCTTTGTTCATTGTTTGGCATGGGGTTAAGAAAAATAAACAGCAGAGCTCAAAGAAATAACTTCAGGAATTCTGAAGTAACACTGAAATGTGTTCCCTTATTGTTAGTCCTAGTAGTCAAATCTAAGAAAATATTTGCATCAAAGTAAAAACAAACTTCAAACTAGCAAAGTTTATTCAACACTAAATAAATCTCTTTAATATTTGCAAACATGGAAGAGGGAGATTCTTAGAAATAGGGACATATGAAACCAATTTAGCTTAGAGTGGAGTGAGAAGATGGGGAAGACGGTAGAAAATTATATTAAGAACTGAAGCAGTAAAACATGGAGGAGGGGACTGGCTCTCTCTGTATTTTGTGCACATTTTGTTTTGAGTGCAACTTTAATATAGTAAGCACTTGATAAATGCTCAGTTGAATTCAATTTCTAGGATTTCCAATGTTAATGTTCACAGAGATGTGCAGTTTGCAAATTCATTCTTTCACATGAAAACTAACAAAAACAAGCAAAAACAAGTACCTGTTCATTTGATCACTGATTTTATTTAGCAATATTTTACTATTAATGTATGTGCTAGGAAGAGAAGGTACAGAATATGGCCATTATGTATATTCCTTAATATTCTTTCAAAAATCTTCTACCTTGAAGTCAACACCTTGATCGAGATACAGTGCCATCACTTTTGCCACTAATACTTATCCTTGGGAACTGAGGCATATGCCAGACAATATGTTACTTGATTGACTTTCCTCTCACGCTGTGACTAGTGAGGGAACATTCCCTTTGTCCTAGTCCACACCAGGCTCTATATTGGGAATTTTCTAAATCATATTCTTACTCAAACTTTTTGTTTTCTAATTATGGTCCAGTTAAGTTCTAGACCAAGAATGAAAGACTTGTCTTAAAGTCCTCCCATCCCCCTTTATGTTTCTCATTAGAGACCCAGAACATTCAGGTGGAAATCACTGAGGACCACCATCCCCACTCTTTTTACTCCATTTTTAATAACCAAGTGCACAAGTTTCTGTTGTGATTGTGCTATTAACAACTTTTAAATCTGTCCTTGAAATCAGCTTTGAGAACTTAGCCAAGATTCTAAAATTGTATCTTTGACTTACCAGTTGAAATCAAAACGGCCAAAAGGAGGACTCTTGAGGAAAACATTTGGCTTTTATTTCTGTGATGTTTCTTCCTCTGATAATTATAATTGCTCCACACTCTCTTTGAAGAATGTTCAAGTCTGAGTAAATATTTTCTAGCTATTTAGCCCCAGAATTCTGCATCTGTCATTTCCTTAATATGAGACAAGAAATATGAGGCTGGAGCACGTCAAATTCTAATATTCTATGGATAGCTATTTGGTTTCCATGTAGGACCTATATAAAAGCTTTTGAGCTGAAAAAGCCAATTTTATTGGAGATGCTGACTAAACATTAACAGAAAGTGATAAGACTGGGTGAAGAGTGACTGTCGTCAGGGCTGTGGCTTCGTGAATAACTGCAGATATAACACAAATACACAAATATGCACAGACTAACGTTAGGATAATAGTTACCTCAGAGCAGGGAAGAAAACAATTGTAGGGGGATGTGCAGGGTGCTTAAATTCTAAAATACTTTATAAAAAGGAAAAGATCAGAAGCAAATATAAAAATACTAATTATTAATTACTGGAGGTGGATACACGAGTACTTGTTATATTGTTCTCTGAACTTTTCTGTATATTTCTAACATGTATTAGCATCTTCTTTGTTTTATAATTAATAGCAGATGAAGCCCTGGAATTTTCTGTGCAAACAGCCCCATTTAAGTCGTTCATCAGTAGCTGTGGGAGACTGACATTGTGTCCCCTACTCCTACCCCTCCCTGCGCCCACACCCTTGCCATGTCTCCCAGAGGCAAAGGGACTCTCTCAGCCTTTGATTTGTGGTTCAGTTATATGATGCACTTTGGCCAATACAGCGAGGCAGACATGACAGTGTATCCATACAGCCTGACCCCTAAGGGGCCTTATGTCTTTCCACTTACCTTGTGTTCTGCCATCTCCATGAGGAGAACATTCCCAGACTAACCTACTGGCCCAGGGAGAGAGTGACAGTCGCGTGGAGCAGACTCACCCGACCTAGCCAGGCCTCCCTAGCTGAAGCCAGCCTAGCAGAGCACATCTCTTAACTTACGTTAGAAAATCCCCAGCTCTCAGAATTACTGAATACAATAAACTCCATTGTGTTTAAGGAAATATTAAGGGAATGAAAGCAAATGTAAGCTAGCTAACTGAACATTGGCTGTGGTTGAGGCTGGCTTATGTCCATTTTGAAGTGGCATCCAGGGCCCGAGGCACTGTCCTAGTTCTCTGTGTGTAATCGGTGATTGTGAGGAATGTCCAGATGATTGCTGCATGTTAGAGATCTTCTGATGGGAAACCCTGGGCTGTCAATAGATGTCTCTGAATGAGACCTTTATCCTCTCTGAGCTCTACTTCCTCATAAGTAAATATATGTGGATGTACAGTTATTTGTGGGGTTACAGTTACTGAAGGGCATTTAACTTTTGCAAGATATCCTCAACTATCAGCATTATAAGTTGACCTCATTTCTCCTCATGTCTTTTGTTTTGACCATTTTATTTTTCTTAGCACTTTTGCCAAAGATAGAGCCTGGAGGAGGCAGAGAGATTCAAATTCGCTGTAATTCAAGTCCAATGGCAGTGGTGATAAAAACTGTGTTACCTACATGGAGACTAAAAGTTACTTGCCTCTTTCAGCACATCATTCTCATCTCTCTTTAGAAAAACTTGAGTTAAATTATTGCAGTAGAGCTCACCCAATTGCCAGGTTTGGCTTTCTCCCCCATCTTACCTCTGGTTCTCTGTACCTGTGTCTTCTACTTCCCACGAGGTAGGCAATGAGCTCATGTTGACATATGAAAGTGAGAAGGCTGGCCATATTCTAGGAATTCATGCACAAATTGATTTTTATGTGTTAATATCTTGTGTTTGTCTTGGTCCATTCAGACTATTACAAAATGCCATTAACTGGGTGGTTTATAAACTAAAGAAATTTATATCTTACCATTCTGAAGGCTGGGAGTCTAAGATCAGGCCGTCAGCACGGTCAGGTTCCTGTGAGGGCTCTTAGCCAGGTTGCAGACTGCCCACTTCTCCTCCACACGTGGCGAAGGAGGCGACGGAACTCTGGGGTCTCTTTTGCAAGGGCACTAATCACATTCACAAGGGATCCACACTTATTACCTAAAGCATGTCCCAAAGGCCCCACCTGCTAGTACCATCACATTGGCATTGGGATTTCAACATATGGTTTTGGGGAGGGACAGAAATATTCAGACCATAACAGTGTTGGTTAATATTAAATCACATACAGAAAACAATGGAGAGAAACTATTTCATAGAGAGGGCAAAATCGTAAATTTGGACGTGACCTCCTAGCATAGAGTCTTATTCTCCCCCCGGTTAAAAATACAAATTTACAGGAAAACATTGTTAGAGATGTGATAACATTTGAGTTAGCTGGAAGAAGAAAAGGCTGGGGAACCCTGCCAGTGTACCTGGCTATACACATATTGTATGGAATATACAGTATATCATTTGGGGCCATTGAATTTGTGTAGCTAACTAGTCTTAACTTTTCTTGAGTCTAAAAACAGGTTCAAGATTAGTTAAACTACTGCTACCATTTATATGCTACAAGTTCAAGAGCATGGCCTCAGCATAAGGAATATAAGATAAAGAAAAATTAGTCTCAATACTGAGATGGTGAGAAAGCTTCTGAGGCCAAACTCCAATACAAAGCCTTGATAAGTGTTCACAGAATTGATCTGAACCAAACTATAACCCCACCAATGAGGAAATAGCCTCCTTGCTTTCCACTTTAATAGAGGTGGACAAGCTCCAAAACTTAGCGTGTGTTAGAATGAGGACTAGCAAGTTCCTAGACTTTTGGTAGTGTTAGTGGCTCCTACCCGTAAGCACAGCATGGGGCGGCCCTTCCTGAAAGTCAGTCATTGGTAGCATTTTTCTGTTAAAATCAGAGCTCATGTTTGTTTTGTCTGGCTGTTTTCATTTAGTGAGGGCAGTGAACTCATGAGACTGGTGTCATAATGGTGACCTCTGCATGGGCTAGTTCCCTCTTCCTGTCCTAGCACCCCAGGCAGAGCCCTTAACCCTGGCCTAACATCTCATGGATGGAGATGGCAGGGGCTTATCCACTGAGGGGCTGAAGTGGAGCACATACAGGAATCGGAACAAGTGTATTCCTACTCTTGAGCTGATATCTTCCTTCTCATCTACTAGGAAGTGGAATCAGACATAAGCCTTAGTCTGTTTCCACTGTCTGGTGGCTGGAATAGGTACATGAAGCCCTGAGAGGATCTCATTAAAGATGGCCTTGTTTGTGGGCAAATTCCGGCAGCCCGTGTATTATGCTTGTATGTGGGATGTGTACTTCAAAGGGACTCTGCGTTCTGTGTTCTGATTCTGAGCCCCGTGCTCTACTGTAGATAAACGTGAAAGATGTTTACACCCCTGGCATGCACAGGCAGACATCCTTCCTTGCCAATTTTCTCTTCTCCGACTTCTCTCTGATAAGCTATAAGCCAAAGTAAACACTTGATTGTCTGCTCTTAAGGCTAATTGTGTTTTTGTTGGTAATTTCCTTATTGGTTTTTAAGAAGTAGTTATATCATTGTTCTGATTATATAAGTAACACCTTCTTCTTGCAAAAATTACTCAAACTTCAAAAACTATTAAAACCAATTTCTCAGACAGTTGGGGTATATGTATTTCTCTATTTTTATCTAGTGTCTCTTGTCAGGAAAACATCAATGTTCTATTACATAGGTACTATCTTCAGCCAAGTGTCACCCTCAAAGTTACATGCAAAACCAAGGGTTTTAATAGAACACTAAATAGCAGAAGAGTTCAAGTGCTGGGTATGTCCAAGGGCTGCCATTTGGGTAAAGTGTAAATGAAACCCTTTTGGTTTTCCCAGCCGTAGGAAACATGAGTGAGAGGGCATGGGAATTCTTTTTTGGTCTCTTGGATCTTTGTGTGGATCTGCAGTGTAACGGCCTTTGTGAAAGGCATCAGGCCACTGTGCTTTGCAGAGGGGTGGCCTGGGTGACCTGACCAAGTACACGGGCTCCCTGCCTCTCTCTTCCTCCTGTGCTTCAGTGGAAGGAATCTGCCTGGAAACACCAGGCTCTGTCAAGCTGCTGATTTATTAACCAAATGCATTCAGACACCGGGGCAACACCCGGAACAGCTCTATGGAAGTCGGCCTCATAATGATGACAGTGAAGAAGGCTTAAATACACAAGTTTTGGCTGGTGGAAGCCATGGTTTAATGGTGAGTCTCCAGTAGGTATCTTCCATGATTTGGAAATGCTAAGTAAACATTTAAATCACATATTCTACCTGCCCTAACCCCCACCCAAGTCCTCTGTGTTGACAGAGAATGGAAATAATTACAAGTATGAGTCATTAGTCACTGCTTTGGAATATGAAATAAGCAAGGGAATGGGATTTGATTACAAAACTAATTTTAATATGAAGAATTGTTTTTAAGTTTTCTAAGGTATGGGATCATTGACTGATCCTAGAAGACAGGAACCTAAAGAGGCATTTTCTAATAAGCCATTTCCTTTTTCATCGATGGAATAATGGAGGGGACAGACTGTGGTCCTTACAATGGGAGTATTAGGTTTGATTTGTTTTAAATTAGGTTGTAAATTACTGAGGTATAAGGCTCTCTTTTTTAGAGGACACACAGTGCAACTTCGTGTCATGTCTAACGCAGCACTGCAAGGTCAGAGGGGTGTGGCCAGGGCTTTTCTGGCTGGAGGCCCGTGAGGAAGCGTCATCTAAGTCAGGGTGGCAGATGGGCGGTGCACATACTATCCTTTCCTCCCTGTGTCCAGGGAGAAGGTCCTTGTCGAGCATGCTGTTCTGCCACCCCACACTCAGACGTGTCCTCATGATCTTGCGCATCCTAGAATCTTTCCCAGTTGTTGGTGTACGGAAATGAGCATATGGATTAAAATCTACTTGTCATACTTAATTGAGGTGAATTTACCTTAATCCAGAGTCCAGTCTTTAGTTGTTGTTGTTTTTTGTTTTTTGTTTGTTTGTTTGTTTGTTTTGTTTTTAGTGTCCTAGACTCAGAATCAGGGAGAGTGATTCAAGTTTATCAAGTTACTAAAAGCCAAATAAATAAACAGAGGTAGAGAGAGAGATAATAGGTGAGAAAGAGAGAAGAGAAGAAAGAAAACTGATTTTCAGTGGACATGATTCCTCTCTAGTGAGGGGATGTGA